GCTGTAATGTCTGGGTCCAGCCATAACTGCAAATGCAAAAAGAGACAACTGTTGCTAGCCAGCAAGGCTTATTTATTGACAGTGGAGGGATTGGATAATAAAATATCTGAGCAAGGAGCTTATGCCAAATGACAATTTTTTTTTTCCTGTGTACTTCCTTGAATAAATTGTTATAAAGGTAATGGATAATAAGTACTATGCATTTTCTTGGAGTGAGCACAACACTTGATCTTATTTCTTTTTAACACAAATATATCTTTTAAAGAGGATATTAAGGAAAATGTGAAGTAAAACTTGTGGCAAAGCACTTATTTTATTTCTGTATTTAAATTTGTAAAGCCACACTTCCAAAGGAGATGATATAAAAATAGCAATAGCAAGATTTTGCATGGCAACTGTACATGCTAAATACAGTGCAAAACCTTTCAAGCCTTGTGCAAAAGCAACATTGCTGCAATCAGTTCTTAGTGCTGCTACTATGGTCTGCACACTCTATACTCTAAACACATGGGACTTCCTTTTGGTAGAAATGGAATATCAGCCTTTGTTTAGAGTCTTTGAACCTTGTCAGGGTCTGGAGAGATGATTCTTATTTCAGCAGGATCTGATGCAACAGGGATGGTACAGAAGGGAAGGGTCTATGGCTCTTCTGTCAGTCTTCTCTGGAATTTGGTAAAAAGCATCCAAAAATAAAAGTAAGAACAAGGTCCTTCCTTCCCCTTCACCTCTGCTGCTGCAGTATGTAAGGGAAGAGAAGTCTGTCTTGTGGTTTTCCCACTGTCAGAAAGAGAACAGGCTAAGGACTGACAATTAAAGCACAATCAAGACTGCATTGGCATTGCTACTAACTGATGTTCAGAGAGAACACTGTCAGCGGTGAACTTGCCTCTGTCTCTTTGCTCTGCTCATCTTCTCTACCTCTGAGGAATGCAGCTGGCAGTTTTCCTCAGAATGCTGGTAGTAAATCAGGATGTAAGCAGACCCTCTGTGGTCCCACAGAAACAGACAGGCTTGTATTCTTCAATCTGTCTACTAAGGAGTAGTGAAAGCTGGCAGAAGGAAAAGTCCAAGTATGCTCATAAAGTATCCTGTTACTTTTACTGCTGGTATTCACTATACCCTTACTGCTTGCTCTTTCTCAGCTTGATGAAGAGCCTCTTTGGAAAACTAGCTACCACCTCACCCATTTCCAAAACGCTTCCCTCTCTTGCCCCATGCCTTCTTGGACTTTCCCACTCCCCTTTCCAGTTGTCAGGCTGCCTCTAGCACTAAGCCTGCACTGAAAATCATTAATGTGTAGTACAAAGAATCCATCTCAAAGACACCTCAGTACACGTTTCTTAGGCATTGGTACAGAGCATTAAGGACAAAGGCACATTGTAGAGTAACGTGATTGCTTTTATTCCCTTGCTTATAGCCTAACAAAAGCTGGAAATTAGCTTTCAGCTCATTTCTCTTCTGCCTTTTGCAAAATTGCTTTGCAATATTTCTAGAGGGCCTGTGAATACCTTTTAGGCACCTGAGCTCTTGAGGTCCAATCGTCAGCATCTGGGGGCACGTAGTTCATAGCCCCAAGCTCCCTGTCCCTGCAGTCTGCAGCAGCCAGGTCTGACGTACCCCTCACATCCTGCTGCTGACTGAGGACAAAACTGCACTGACAAATGTGTTGAGGAGCAGCAGGAACAGTGCAAGTGAGCAGCTGAGAGGCGCCCCAGCACAGGCAGTGTCTTTCCTGCCAGGACACCCTCAGGCAGTGCCAAGGCACCTGGGCATAGCAGCCAGGACAAGAGATCTCGGGCTGGGTAGAGCTGTGACTTGTGGGCCATAGGCAGAGCTGGGGGAACAACCATGCAGGCAGGGCCAGCAGCCAGGGTGGCAGTGATCTCAGGGTGATGACAAAATGCCCTGTGGGCCAGTTGTGTCACCCCCACCTGCCTGCAGGAGACAGCTGGGTGGTCCTGTTGGTGCACAGTGACTCTGATAAATTCAGATTTTCTATCTGTTCCTCTTTGCTCTTCACCCATGCTCTGAATCATGAAGGCAGCCATGTGAAATGTAAAGTAAAGTGAACTTACTTTTCTACATATCTAAACTGAAATAAGGCACAAGAATGTACTTTATTCACCTCATTGCTTCTGCCTGCTAACAAGGCTACGCTTACAGGTAGTTGAACTATATCTGCAAACCCTATGATGCCACTGGCAAACCAGGAGGGGGCAAACTCACTCCCTCATGTCCTCATGCTCTGGAAGGTCTGTAAGACAAACGTGAAGGCATCCACAGCTAATATCTTCCAGGCCTCAAACTCCTGAAAAGTGATTTGTGTCCTTTTATGAAGCAACTTCAGTGGCTGGCAGGCTGTGGTGCCATTGATGTAGGTCATGTGTTAGAGAGATAAATTAGCCATCTATACCTGGGTATAGAAAGCCACTGCACCACAAATGCACAGGGAGTATATCATCATTCCCATAATAACACATTAGCATTCCCCTTTGAGCTGTCGTCTGTGTTATCCCCATTTTTCATATCACACGTCCTCTTTTGTAACACCTGAAAGCATTTCTTTACTGCCAGGAAAAAATAAAAGACACCAGTATTACAATGCATGCTTATTCTCAGGTACTTGCAAAATCTGATGTTTTGACATTAAAAGTCTCTGGCAATCAGTTAGTTATTTCACAAAGACTGAATCAGCGCTGTCAAAGATTTATTGTTTTAAGTTTTTCCTATTACACATCCATTCACTTTGCCAAGCAGTGTCTTTTAATAATTCTGTTCAGACTCTCAGCACTGCTGCTGTCACTGCTATTCTTACACAAGCAGTACAATCAATAGATGGATGGACAAAAATTAAATCATTTAATGGGTTCTGGTTGACTTGTTTTGGGTAGCAGGGTTCCCCAAAGCTTCTGCATTATTTCATATGCCCGTACTTCCACAACAATGCATGTTTCCACTTGGTTGATATCCTACAGCATGTAATAACAGAAGATGTAGGCTGGTTGGATGATTGTGTAGAGTCATGAGAGAAGCCTCTGATCTAGCTGGTCAAAACCACAGAGGTTTCTAGCAGAAAACAGCTAGCAGTCAAAATCATTTATCTAAACATGCTCCTTCCTTTCTCTGGAGAGGATCATGCCTGTTCTACAAGTGTGCACGTTCTTACTTTCTCAATATAAGCCTTGATATGCAATAGAATCCTGTGACAGAGTACATAGGCCTCACATTCCATGCCTCAGATCACACTGGAAAGGCAGTGTTTGCCAAGAATCATTGTGCTATGGGGGAAAGGAATGGCTGCAACAATTTCTTCTCTTGACTTTAGCAATAATGGAGTCCTAATCCTGGAGTCATGCTAAATAGAACTACCCCAAGCTCCCTAGATCCTAGCAAGACATGCATAGCTAGGTGTGGAAAGAGATGTCTGGAACAAGCTGTTGGAGTTTCACTGCTGGAAGTTAGGACAGAACAGTTCCCAGCCATGTGTAAGTTCACCGGATCATCCATAGGGCTGATGTAAATTAGCCAATACTACAAGAATTCTCCAGTTTCGCAGCTGCTGGCTTAGCAAAACACAAGGGTGATTTAAAGGCATCTATCTTCTGATATTGTTCTCTGGTGAAAGAACAATTTATCCCTTTTTCATAAGGGAAGGAGGGAGGGAGGAAGGGAAACAAGATATGGAACTCTGACCAGTGTCAGGCTCCTATGAATGTTACAGAAACCTGGAAGTCTATCTTATTTAATATACTGAGAGCTCTGGATCTGAATGGAGGATGGGGAAAAAGTCCATGCAAGCTATAGTGAGCAAGTTTCTTCCCAGAGCAGCCAGAAGTTGCTGTTCACCACACTTCTTTACCAGGAGTCTGGCAGCACAAGTTACAGCTGCTCTATGTTGCTAGAAATCCTGTGGGAAGCTAAGGAAGAAACACCTGAGAAAGGCTTTGATTTCCATGAATGAATGAAAATACACAGTTGAAGCACATGAAAGATTAATCCAGCTGACATGTGCTAAATATTATGGTCTACTACAGAAATATGTAATTGTAAGCATGCTTATTCCACTATGAATAATCAGGTTTAGGTTTTGAGCTTTTTTTACAGTGTTTTATTTACTTGATGGCATGAAATGGTTTGGAGTAAATAGGCTTTTTAATCTGTTTCTAATTGGCATGTTATACTTCTGAATCAGGAATAAAAGGAATTAATAAATGTTACAAAAATTGGATTGAATATAAGATAAATTAGAATTGAGCCATTATGGTCCTTTGAGTAAGTATTTAGAAATTAAATTATAAATGTATTTGAAATGTTAATCATTTACCCAACAGGCTATAACAGCTTGCAAAGCACCATTACAATTTGTCATGTAAATTCATATTCAGACATGGAATAAAAGTGTGAGGAGAAAACAACGGGGTACTGTGATGGGCAGTCATAGCTGTTGCAGAGAAACATCGATTCTCTGAGATAGTTTCAGAATCTGTTCAAATCTTGAACAAAGGAAAGCACTAAGAAAATCTGCAACTGACCAATAAAATATTCTTTCAAAAAAGTGCTCCTTGCATAACTTATGAAGACACATTGAAAATGCCTGGTTATACCACGATCAATAGAAGAGGCCAGGTGTACTCAGTGATGCAATGCTCTATACATCTCAGGTACTTCTCTCTTATTACCAGTCTCACTGAGCACAGAGGCTGCTCATCTTCACAGAGTGCTGATGAGCCACAGAAACGCCACTTTCCATCGATTACAGACAAGAAACGAAGATACACAGAATGAGATCCTTTAATAATTTCAGCAGCTAAATCTCTCAACCACCCTACAGTACCCACTCAAATTCCACTTTATCATACAAACTCTCACAGTCCATTGTTACTCCCCTTCCTGGAATAAGCACATGGGCAGGCAGGGTGTCTGCTGTCATCACAGACAGTTCTAGAGGTGCCCCCAACAGAGCGGCTCAGCTGTGGCATAGGGCCAAAAACAGTGGAACATTTCTTCATTGCAGGTTGCTCTGCACAGAGGAGGTAAAATGATTTCCTGCTGGCTCTGTAAGTCGGGATCTCAGCAGCCTGAGGCAGGGAGTAAGTTAATGCTGTGATGTTCTGATTCTGATGCAACGCAAAGGGCAGCAGGTAGGAAACCACTAAGTGCACAGAAGGAGAAGAGTTTGGGCCTTGCGTGTTATCAACTTCAGTAGTTTTATTGAAAGCCTCTTGATATTTGATGTTACAGACTGCTGGGTAATGATGAAGGCTTCTTACGCAACATCCTAGATGTTACACCCCTGTGGATGCAGAAGTAATCACGCAAGCACAGATCCCAAAGGTTTTTTAAAAAGGTAGAGGCCTTCCTACTGTCCACTAGAGCAAACCCTGGATTTGTTTAGAGACTGACTAGTAAATCTCATCTCTGCTTCTATCATAGTTAACAAACTCTCCTCTACCCTCAGCACAGGTGGCTGCTCCCTTACTGACTGCTGTCTAGAAAAATGGGGCACCACCTCTCCCTGCTTTGATACCAATAAGACAGTAAATGATCATTGCTTCATAACTCGGCATTGTAGAAGCAAGATATATATCTCCTGTTCAGGACAATAATTTGGGTACAGCTCAGGAGTTGAGATTCAGTAAAGGAGAGATTAATGAAATGACATCTGCTGCCATCACTTTAGGCTTTCAAAATCAGAAATCTTGAAAAAACCTATTTATTTTCTACATAGCCCTAAATCTAGCTACAGTTCAAAACTATCTAATTGATTATTGATACCGACCCATAGGTGTCTGCAGGAAAACACATCTTGAATACATCAGGAGCATCCCAACACTCAGACTGTGCTCTTCACATCTACAGTAAGATTCACCTGTCTCACATGCTGAGGTTAATTGAAGATTTGAACATAATTACTGCATCCCAAGTGCTCCACAGCTGGTGTCCAGAAGTTGAAGGACAAAGCTAATGGAAACCGTTCTGGCTGAAGATATCGGACTACCCATCTTATCCACAGCACCCTAGCTGCTAGAACACAGACCATCAATGTGTACAAGAGCATGAGAGTCTCCATCCTTGCATGGAATAACTAGGTATTTAACAGAAAGGAAGGGGGAAAGCAAGAACAGGAGATCACCAGGACTTGCTGCATTGACTCCTTAATATAAATTCCACCTCACAGAAACAGGAGAAAAGCTCCTCTGTTGTGCCATGTATGCCAGTCACTAGGGCTGGCACTGTCTCACATTCAGTAGACAGTTACTTCTCCTGACACCATATTCAAGGGCATTGGTGGGACACATTGAGAGCTTTACTTCTGTAGAATCCTGCTGCTAACAGCAGGATTGTTCTGCTGAGTTCAATTCCCCTCAGGCTCTGGGAGAAGCTAAAGATTGGACTTTGGCACTTAAGCACACTGTGCTGCTTGGCATGCCATTGTCTAAAAAGAACATGGTGCTCTTCTTCTGTTAGCTATGTTTAATGCCCGTTTTTGAGAGCAGCTGTGAAATCAAAGCCCTGTGCTTTCCAGATGACAAGACACTAACCAGGTAAAGAGGCCCAAGTAGAGCGCCAGACTGCTCAGTGATGTCAGGTCCAAAACACTTATGCACAGGCTTCAAATCAAATGCAAATTTTGTTGGCAAGAATTTTGGCTTCTATGTTCTTTAGTTATTTCCAAGACTGGAACAGCTGCATGCATCTATGAGGATAAAGATTTTGGATCTGGGACCCTTGCATGTCATTTTAGGGGAAAAAGGCCATTTCTGAGCAATGCCTAAGTGACTGTTGTTTCCACTAAAAAGCACTAAAACTCCAGAATCACTCTGTGGACCCTGCCATAGAGAAAGGAACAGTCTTTAAATTCCTTCCTACCCCTGAGCCTCCCAGAGGGGCAAGACAATTATTTACAAAGTCAACTGGCCCGTGACAGGGAGAATTGTTTTTTATATCGCTTTTCATTCCCAACTCCACTCTTGTGCCTTTCTTCAGGACTTCTGCCTTTCTTCACTCTGCTGCCTAAACAAAATACATCAGGCATATTTAAGTTCACTGTTCCCCATGGAGAACTCTTGCAATTAACTTGCTGTCCTGGTGTGTGGATAAGTAAATCGGGAATGGAAAATGGTTGATTTGTATTTATGGTGAGCAACTACTGTGAAGGCTAAAAAAAAAAGTATTATAAATAGGAAAAAGAAACAAAGGCAAAACCAAAATAAACCAAACCAAAAAAAACCCCAAAAAACAATCAACTAACTACATAGAAAACACAAACAAACAAGAAACCAAAACAAAAAATAAGGAAAGTTTACTTTAGAAAGTAGATTTTTAAATGTCCACTGAAGCCTTATGCCAGATCTTCAGATTGTGTTCATCAGTGTAATTCAGCTGACTTCAGTTTTTATCAGTGATTTTGCCTTCAGAATAATTGTTTCACTTTTCCCTACCTGTAGATCTGGAGTCCTGTTCACAATGCCTATGTTATAAAGGGCCAGATACAGGAACCTCTGAAATATTCTAAATTTTTAATTTATTTTTTTTCTATCATGAGTGAATAAAAAGGTAGCAATATTAAGTAAAGGGGGGTTATTGTAATATTCCCAGTGTATACAATCTTGGTTTGTCAGAGGCTGAACATTCTCTTTCCACTTTTTATTTAATTTTGCAGTTCCTAGCTGATGGAAAATTTCATGTCTGGTCTTACTTTTGGTTGAGCAGATCTGAAACTCAATATACAAGGTTTGTGTTTCTTTAGAAAGCTGCATACCATGCTTCTAATAGAAATGCCTCACTCTTGCTCACTCTGACAGGAATACTTCAATGCATCCATCACTGACAAAGCTCAAATCAAATCAGATATTAATCAAAGACTTCTTTTTTTTTTTTCTTTTCTTTTAGTTCGAAAGAGTTCCAACAATAGAATAAATTCAGCAAGAGAAAAAATGAAGAAGAAAATGCACATCAAAACTACTGGAGATGTTATTGCCAAAGGCAGTGCCCACATCACTCTCTTCCACCCTATTATTTCTCCTACTTTCCTCCATTGCATGAATTAATATGAAGTTCAGAAGGACTGGCCCAGGGGCCATGTCCTGGCTTTTATGAGACCACTCCTGAGAAAGTGCCAATGGCTTAACACCTAAAACTTACCCAGAAAACATAGCAAAAGCCATGCTTGTAGGTAGAGGTCCAGCTTTTTAAAGAGCCAGGGCCCTAAAAGCCTGTGTGATTCCCTGGAGTAGTTACAGAGGTTAATCCCTCTAGCAGGGTAACTTACAAGACAGCACTTATTATTTCTCATCCCTAAAATGTAAAGTAGTTCTCTCTCAGTCCCCTGTATCTGCACAGACACCCAGCTCTTGGACTGATATGGCAGAAGCAGCTCTTCCTAACAAGGGAGATACATTGGAAGGTTCTTTCCCTTATAAGGAAAAAAAAGAAAAAAGGAGAATGACAGAATGAATGCCTGCATGCATAGACCTGTATATACACACAGCTACACAGACAAGAGGATAATTGCTTGAGTACTCCACAGCTCTCCCCTTACCCCAGTTTCTGCTGGTTAACATTAAAATCCAGCCTAAAGGAGGACTTACTGTATTTTATTTTATTCTGCTGCTTGGAAAAGTGCATGGTCTTACTATGAGAAGGATGCAATTTTCAATGACCATCAATTTCAATGGCTAGTCAGGGACAGAATCAATATGTCAATGCCAGTAGCAGAAGGGAAAAATATGCCCCACACACATATGGACATTGACTGAGAGTTTTCCCTGTCCTACATCAGGTCTGTATGAAGTTCTTGGTGTTCCAGCACTGCATAAAAGATCCTCCCGTGACATTTTGTTTAAAAGAAGATGAGCTGAGAATGCAGAAAGGCACCCACACAGGTTTCCTTTCCCACATTCCTTCCAGAGTATTTCAGAATTGAATTTCACACTTTTGTTTTGCATAAGCTGTTCAGCATCCTTGATTCTGCTTATCCTAATGGTTCAGCACACTTCCTGAGTAAAGTGATACACATTGCATTTTATTTTTCACACAGGAATCAAGAAGAAGGGCTTTAAATTATACTAAGAGAAGGAGCTTTACATTAAACTATGCAGGCAACCCTTGTAACTCCTTTGAAATCAAAAAGCTACGTCATTTACTGGCTGAATATCTGGCCATATTTGAAATTCAGGTGTAAAACTTACTGTTGATGAGCAGTGGAGCAGATTTTAATAGTAAATATGATACATGAAAAATAGGGATATATTTCAAAACTTCTGTAACTGAAGATCTAAAACTCCCTTGCGCTCTCTTTGTCTTTCTCTGTCTAACATAAATAAACATCACCTTGTTACACATAGTGAGATAGATATGTACTGCATCTGGGACCAGGCTTTCTTTGCAGATGAGTGACAGAAATCCTAAGATCTTTTAGAATTGCATTTTTATAACAAATCTTAGAAAACTATTTCAGACAGGTTTTGATTCCCAGATTACAACAGCAGGCTGTATAGAGATGAGGTTCTAATTTTTTAAGCAACATTTTAAAGTGAAGGCAACATGACTTAGTGGCTCTGGTTAATTCAGTTCCAAGTTTTAAGTCTCAACTACAAGGATATTATGCAAAAAACAGTGCAGGAAAATACATGCAGCCAAGAAAGTATGCAGAGCGGGTATGTGGGGTATAAAAAAGTATATCGTATATCCATATAAAACTGGGCATAAGGTTTTTTTTAAAATTTTTTCTTACGGTGAAATATTTCTAGTCAGGCTGTCCATCTCAGAAAAATCTCCCTTGTTCTCCCCTGTTTTCCCCAAGGATCACTAGCCCTTCAGCTCACAGTCAGATAATGACAATTACCCTCCAGACATTCCTCTCATGGACAAGTATTTTAGCTGTGTTTTAGCTGTGAGACTTGGTAGCTCATACTCAACCAAATCCCCGCATTTCAATCAACAGATATTAAAGAACATACAATTCACAGCATTTCTGCAACAAAGGAAGAAGCTCATTTTCATGCCAGAGTCATTCTGGGAAAAGTTCACCATGAGAAGTTACAGCAGTTTATTCCCATTTTCAGCTTTACAAGGACACCTGGGCAGAAGTAGAGACCACTGTGAGAGATAAACAAAAGTGATACCTACAAGTACTGGATTTCTAATCAAATACATCAAATTAGTCACTTGTGGAAAATAAGGAAGTCTTGTATGCAATCAAATGACCTCACACAGCTTGCATGTTACATTACTCTTCTGTCCCTGGGCTTCCTCTGTGCCCAGGCAGCTCATGGCCCCCTGCACCATGTGCTAAGGCCTTGGGGTGCTGCAGATTGAAATGGTGAAATATCAAAAGGGTGTTGGGCAAAATAAGGCTAAAGGAAAGGTCCAACAGAAGCAGTTTTCAGATGCTGATGAGCGTGGAAAGATATGCAAGATTACTATTTTTTTCAAGGGAGGCTCAGCTCCAAAGACCTTGCTGATTGTTTTTGTAGGGACAGACTAACAAGCTAGAGCATTCACAGGTACACACCTGCACAGTGCCACCAGACACTGCTTCTCATTCATCCACTGCTGTACAAGGCACAGGCTGTTAGCTCAGCACCAGCTGCATGAGTAAGTCTAACCTGCTGGAGGGGTTGTGCATTTCTTCCTGGGATAGGCTGAACATCAAGGGTTTGGTGCATTATCCCATGGAGATTTAAAGGGGGAGAAGCTGCAGTGCCAGTGAGAGCCACCCAGTCTTGTGTCAAGGACCATCCGTTCAGCTTCTCCTCCAGCAAACAGCCAGGCTGAGGCATGTGAACTCTACTGTGGGATACCAACACTACTATTTTGTCTTGTCCATGAGGCAAGAACCTGTATCAGTACACCTAACTTGTCCTTTCCTTGCACTGGTCCAGCTTCTGAACTATTTCTCTGCCTCAGCAATCTCTTTGAAGACAGCCACGTTTCACTGGAAATTGCTGTAAAACAAAGCTTCACGTTGATGTAGGATGACATCCTCAAGATTTAAATGATGTGAACCAATAGCCAAGCAAAATTTCTACATTTTCTCAGTGAAACAGCTTCTTCCTCTTTCCTCGGCTCCTTGCCTCAC